GCAAACAGACATGAAACGAACACAAAGAACACCCAGATTCAGAACAACAATTTGTGAATAACACAAAGTGTAGTTCCATGTGAGGATCGGACCCACAGCACTCAGCGTAGTAGTAAAAGGCGTGGCGACCGCTTAAACCACTACGCCATCCGTTTATTTCCTTAGTCTTAATTACCCGTGTCTGTCTTTTAATTATCCGTGTGGTTGACGGATTGTCACTACCCCTATTTACCTCGTGGGTGTCGTAAGAGCCGAATATGGGAGGAAACTAGGCAGGACAACAGCACTGCAAAGAGAAGGAAAACTTGAAATAAACCCTATATCAAATCGTCTGGCCAGCGTGGTACAGTAGGCCAAAACCTCCTTTCTAAGGAGCGGCCTATGTCCAGCAGTGGACTCTTATAGACTGTTGATGATGATAATTAAGTCTATTTACTTAATTCTCATGGGGTTAGTAACTCATATGAATCACTTTTGGTTAATAATGAATTATATTCCAAACTAAACATAAGCGCCTTGTGTATAGACCACTGTATACTGTATGATAATAAAAAGTAGTATACACAAGGAAATCTGATCAAAACTTAGGGCATTTGGTCATCTCTTACTTACCTATGTATAATTTATTAATTGATCCATATCCCAACTTATGTTATAAGTGTGAAACTGAGTTTGTTTGTTACGCTTTCACACATAAACCACTAAACAATTTCTTTTACCAATGGAAAGCTATCTTTACATCGAGTAACATAGGCTATTTTTAAAGCGAAAACCGGCATACACGCGGGCGGACTCGCAGGCAAAACCTAGTATATTTATATAATAAATATAAATTAGGTTTAATGAGATTATATAAAATTACATTATGTAACGATGCAATTTTTTTATGTATTGTGTTCTAATGTTAGATATTTGATATGACATACTTCATTTTTTAGTTCGGGTATTTTTAATTGTTTAAATTAGTATTTTTAACTGTTTTGACAACTCCCGCACTAGGAATATATCCTGTGTAGAGGATTCGATCCCGGTCATATTTTAGTCCCGAAATTTTCGGGATCAAATTTAATTAATCCCGGGATTTTCGGGATTGATACATTTTTTACATAAGTCAATAAAAATGTGCGTAAAAAGAAACAGCCTTGTCTTGATTTGATGTTTTGACAGCCATCTTGTCTACACAGCTGATTTCATTTGTTTTTGCTAATGACCGGTTCTGGATTATGCGTAAAAGTGTGTAATTTATAAAGTTTCTGGGCAATTTAATTAAAAAATATGAGTAGGTATCTATAAACATTGGTCTCTTAAGCATATAGTTTTTTTTAAAGTTTATCTAAATAAGTCTAAAGAAGTTGATTTTTTGAAGTTTATTGTTAGTTTCATAAATTATTTACCGAAACATAAAACAAACTAGGCACTAGTTTGTTTATTTTATAAGAAAAAAGTATAATTTTGTTTAACCGCCTTTTTGGAGATTTAAAACTTAAATTTTCTGTGTCCTCACAAAACTAAATGATAAACAAAAAAATATTTTGATATGTTTTACTGTCTTTTTGTTACCACTTTCCATTGCCAAAACAATCCCGGGACTATCCCGAGATCCCGTGATTAACTGTAGATAATCCCGAAATCCCGGGATTATAAAAATCGACCGGGATCGAATCCTCTAATCCTGTGTCGCGAGTGACTTTACAAACATACATTAAACGGACACAAAGAACACCCACACATTTGAATTTGATAATGAATGACATGCCATTACTTTGTAAGGGTAGGCTCGATTAACTCACTCACTCGGTGAAAAGCAGGAATAGGTTACCTGTCAGGCTCTGACTCGGGTACTCGGGTCGAGACGTATACTCGTATCGTGTCACGTGTCACCACTTTAAATATTGTTTTATCTATCTTTCACAACAGTTTCTTTCCTAACTTCTCATTAATGCAACCACAGTGTGCCACAGCGTAGGAGGGTACTTCTAGTAAATTATAAATTTTATCAGATGTACTCATAATTTACTATTGAAAAACAATTTCATTTTCTTTTGGCAAAAACATTCTACAAAGGTCCTTTCGAATAGAAAATCGTATGGGAATTTTAAAAATAATGGGAATACCTATTTACAAATGAAAATTGAGACTACATTCGTGACATCCCGGCCTCAATTCTGATATTTTAATATTGTATCAGTAGACTGTCGTTCCGTGTGAATCCGTGTGGTGACGGATTAAGAATACAGAGAGTCACCACCCCTATTCATCCCCTTGGTGTCGTAAGAGGCGACTAAGGGAGCGAAGTACGCAGTACAACAACCCTGCAGAGAGAAGGAAAACTTGACACAAACCCCACACCAACCCGTCTGGCCAGCGTGGTATAGTAGGCCAAAACCTCCTTTCTAAGGAAAGGCCTATGTCCAGCAGTGGACTATTAAAGGCTGTTGATGATGATGAGACTGTCGTTGGAATAGTTTTGCACCTTTGGATTCTACTACGTAAGACCAATGACCCAGTGACTTGTCATTGGTGCAAATGTCGTCGATGACTTTATAATAGTACATTTTAATTTTTTAAGGAAATGCTATATTTATTTGCTATCTGGTAAATTAAATGCAGCATTATTTTATAAATGGTAATGATGTTGATATCAACATTGATGAGCCATTGTTACTACATCGACGGTTTATTGAATTTGAATTTATGTTAGTAGAATACCGATATTTTAACTGTTGTCAATAGCATCCCAATAGAGTGTCAATGGAATGACAGTGGCTTGTACGTTAACATGAAATAGCAGAATTGAGGACCAGAAACGTGGCGCCTCGATACGCACGTAGGCTACCGTGTACCGATGCTTGCCTCGTAACAGGTATTCGAATTGTGTTTAAATAATCACAGAGAAATATAAAATTAAGCCGTAATATATGATAAATTTTAAATTAATTTTAAAACGTATTCTACGAAGCTGTTCATTGAGAAGTTTTTTTATTATTATTATTATTTTTTATTACACACACACACGGCCGTCTGATCCCAAACTAAGCAAAGCCTGTACTATGGTAACCAAACTGCTGACAAACATACTTATATATTTGAATCTAGTGTAGAGACTATCATTTTCCTAGAAGTAGAGATACAATTGTCACATGATTATAATAATTACATTTGTATTTACTTACCGCAGTCACAAGGTTTCAGAGGTTATCAGTACGTAGTTAACTTAATAATAAAACTAATTGCGGGACTGCCGCTACTGGAAATAGCTCTATACTTTGTATCATTAAGACTTTAATACTTACTTTAGTAAATACCTATGTATAAATAAATGATTTAAGGCGGAATACTTGAATATATTACTATTGACTTATCCGTGTGGTCACGGTTTAAGAACACAGAGAGTCACCACCCTTATTCATCCTGTGGGTGTCATTAGAGCCGGCTATGGGAGCAAACTACAAAGGGCAACAATACTGCAAAGAGAAGGAAAACTTGAAACAAACAGTATGCTAACCCATCTGGACAGCTTGGTATAATAGGCAAAAACCTCCTTTTTTATGTTAGAGGAGCAGACGAGCAAAAGAGTCATCTGATGGAAAGTGACCATCGCCGCCCATAAACGTCTGCAACTCAGGAGTCACAAACGCGTTGCCGGCCTTTTAGGAAGGAGTACGCTCTTTTCTTGAAGGTTTGAAGGTCGTATCGGTCCGGAAATACCGCAGACGATAACCCGTTCCACAGATTGGTTGTGCGGGGCAAAAATTGTCTCGAAAAGCGCAGTAGTGGAGCGCCAATCATTCAGGTAATGAGGATGAAAATTTTGACGTCTGGAACGATGGCACACACACCTTGTGTCAATGAAACTGGTAGCATAATATGGAAATGACCGTGAATACTTGAATACAGTTATTTTAGGATTAAAAAATATAAACAATGTCTGTTATAAATCATTTTTAAATTACAAATCACATTGTTTACTTTTTTTTATATCATTATAATAATATTATGGCATATTATGATAACTAAGTGTAAAGTAAACTGTTATTAAATAACAGTTGAAGTTCTACCAGTCGAAGAAATAAACCAAAAATTAATTACATATGTTCTGAGTTTGAACAGCATGATTTATTGTCTACTTGAGTAAGTCTAAAGTCCCTGTAATTTAATCCATACTTCCATACTTATCCATACTTATATATTATAAATCTGAAATTGAGTTTGTTTGTTACGTTTTCACGCCTAAACCACTAAACCGATTTTAAAAATTCTTTCACCAATGAAAAGCTAAATTATCAGCGAGTAACATATGCTACGACAAAGTTAGTATTTTATAATATTCTTAATTAATGAATTATTATTTAATAATATAGTTTAATATTGCCAGTATTTAATGCCAGCAATAAATATTCTGGAAATAGCAGAATATTCACCGACGATAATTTAAAAGCAATATTCTGACAAATCTGTAATGAGCATAAATTGTAAGTACCTGAATGACCGAGCTTTTCTGGGTATTTATTTTTTTGGTAAATTTCTAAAAATGAAACCTAGCTAGAACGATTAATCGCCCCCGAAATGGATACTAAATTTCATGAAAATCGTTTTAGCCGTTTCTGAGATTCAGATTATATATATATTTTAATACATGCATATGTTGTGTATTGTCATCCTATCATGATAAAATGACCAGAAAAGAAACTAAAATATCTTTCATCTAAAATAATATCACAGAATATCAAAATATTTTCACCCGAACGAAGTCGAATACAACCCAATTTCTGGTTGGGGACTCTAAGTGGAGCCTTCACTTCACAAAAGTAACTGAAGAATCGTTTCACACCAGTTTCCTGCAAAGCCAGCCCATTTGTGCCGAAGCATGGCTCTTCACCAGTAACAAAAGTCTCACTCTCTTCTCAGCCTTACTATTACGAAACCCCCATAATGTGTGAAGTTGGTCTGCAATGTTGTTTCTTATTATCCAGTTCATGTGAATAAGATAATCGTAAGAAATGGTAGCATAATAACTAATTTCGTCAGTGCATTACGAATTGTGAACACATTTATGACACAAGAAAACACGTTGAAGTATGCGAGTTCTTGAAAGTTACAGTTAATTTCATCAGTTTAACTTAAATTTGGGGTATGTAGGTAATTGACTTCGTCATTCGTCAGTCAGTCGTCTATTGCTTGACCAAAATTGTTATTCTCATTAACCAATCCGCTTGCTATATCTCAAACTTATCAAACATATAATAACGATATACCGAGAACTTTATCGTTCTGGTTTTACTCATCTAAATATACATCATGTTGTTTGTTATATAACTATTGTTATAAAAGCTTAAATTAAATATTATTATGAATTTAGTCTAGGTGACGTAAGGTGACGCAGCAGTCAGAATGCGGTGACAATATAAATAGTTCTGCTACTTCATTCAGATTAGTATGAGTTTACCCGTTACTGCTTATACACGACATAGCTAAAAGTAAATTTTGTTGCGTATTTTGTGGATTGAGTTTACGCAGTTTCTTTAAATAAACCATTTAAGAGGAATCGTTTTGTAATAAATAGTAATTTTAATAACGTTTTAAATTTCATTTCAAATATATTCCTAGTTTCCTTTGTGCAGTCAAGTGGTTCAATTTCGCGGTGAGTTTTATTTCGTCATTTCTTAATCAGATCGAGAACTTTTTGCCTTTGGTGCTAATTTTATTAACATAACGTACGTTCCTAAAGTGTTTTAAGAAGTCTGAAGTCACTCTTACAAAAGAATTGTATTCGTACGCATGCAAAATTAAAATAAAAATAGTCTGGACTTCGACCAAGTTGTTAGGTAATTATAGGATGATTAGAATTGCGTTTCGTACAGGAAATATGTTTTGATTTTCCTGCTAATACCATACGTGTTTAGAATGCACTTGTTTACTTATCATAATATACACCAAATATTTCAGGATTCGGAGGAAGTGATAAAAATTATCACTGGAATTTGCTTGAACGTTCTTTCTGAATCAAATTCAATCAATGGTGCAGAACTTTGCCTATTACTTTTATTCCTCTTGTCATCATCACGCGTACTTTGAAGTTTAATCTTTTAAGTTTTTTCAAATGCAAATTTTATTTGTTTCAGATCATACTCCAAGAAAACCAACAGTTTTCCTCATGGTTTAGACAATTCATATATTCTTCAGAAAATGTCACAATCAACTAAGACGATGGGCCAAAAAGGTGTTTTGTCGGAACTGCTGAAATCCAGAGAGAGGTAAATTTGACTTCTTAATAGGTGTTATTAAAGTTCTTGATACGGTGTACGTATTTCATTTGTTATTTTTCTTTAATCGACTACTACTGTCATCCATTACATCATAAATTATATAATACGTCATAATCTAATTATAAAATTCTCGTGTGTATAAAATTTTGTCTGCATATCGGGTAGGTCTGAGAATCGTCTATTTCATCATCTATTCAACATCTATCAATAACATCTATTTTTCATGCCCCTAAATGATAAGGGAAGGGACCCAAAAAAAAATATTTTTTATTTTTTCGACCTCCCCCCACGTCCACAATTTGGGGAATCATTCACTCGGTTAAAGGCAACGTTATAATTGCTTGACATCTGTGTTCTACGAGGTCGTGGTAAAACTACTTTCGAGCCGTCCCTAATATACCAGAGCAATTTTATCTCAGCTCTGATATCGGACATTCAGAATTTCCCTAAAACTATCGCACTCATGTTTACATGTTAAACTTCTTATTGCAGACTGGACCGCGCGTTGACTTTAACAAGGACACCCCGTGAAGTTCGAGCTAACTACGGCAACGGTATAACAACATCAAACTTTATACCTAGAGGACAGTATCAACCATATGAGAATAACCACGGATCTGTAGTAAGCTCCGTGGTTTCAGAGATAGTTCCTAAAAGAAGTAATCATAATCTAGGTTCGATTCGTGGAACATATAAAAATAGTTATGATGATGTTGATGGGGATTTTAATATTGAGAGAGGACCACGTAATGGCTACGAGCTTGGTCCAGGTCATGGCACTCTTGTGAAAACTTGGGATCAATATCTAGATGAGGATTACTATCTTAAAGTGATACCTTTAAAGAAACAATAAGTAATTACTGATACTACTTGCTTGAAAATTGTTAGATTACCATTAAGTGGTTTCTGTAAAATGTATTTCTTTGGTATATATAAATCAGTATTGCCCAAAACTGTATACGGTAGATTATTTTGTAAATAGGTCACATCTTCGCTTCGGGATCTTTTGTTTTACACGTACAATTACATTAACAGAGATGATTAATTAGAGACGACGATGTTTAGGTTGAAGTATACATTTTCCTTGTAAGATTTTCTGAATTGTGATATCTTTAGTTCTAATGTTGAATAATAATAAATGGATGTAATGTATTAACTAGTGGACCATCGGCATAATACATTTAGTCGTACCAGTGATGTTTTAAAGAGTATATTGATCAAGAATGTTATGCTACATCTTTAGCATCAACAGCCTTTACTAGTCGACTGCTGGACATAGGCCTTACCTTAGAAAAGAGGTTTGGGCCTTCTATACCACGCTGGACAGACGGATTGTTATAGGGTTTGTTTCAAGTTCTCCTTCCCTTTGCAGTGCTGTTGTCCTGCGTAGTTTCCCCTCCATAGCTTCTTAAGTCGACCCTTACGACATCCACAGGATGAGTAGGGATGATGAAACTCGGTAATCTTAATCCGTCATAACACGGATAAGTTTTTTGTCAGCAAATAATTAAATAAATGCAATAAAATATTCTTTATGGACTTTAAAATCAGACATGACTATTTTGATTCCTTTTTTTTTAACTTTTAAATATATTTTTTTTAAATTTGTTTAAGATTGTGATATAATTAAGTTGAGAGACATTCATTTGTTGTTGAGAAAGAGCAATTCATGTCTCTGTCAATCAGCCATGTCATTTATTAATGCTATACCTAATAAGGCCTCTGAATATACAGTACAAAAAATATATAATAGCTGTTATTTGGTACGAAGTGTGATAATGTTAAATTAGGAATTTTTATACATAACATTTTTAAAGTATTGGTTAGACATTTTGAGTATCGGACTCATTGTGCCTATGAAATATATGTATTTTATTTGTACCTTTACGGCGAAAGCTGAGTGAAAATTTGCAATTCAGTCGGTTCTAGAACATACTTTATCATTTAGCGGGTAATCAAATTTGTTCATATAAGTTTGAAGTATAAAATGTTTGTGCGAAACATTAAATATTCAGATTTAGGTAGTTGCGTGTGCATCGCATGGGACGATTCAATTTAAGTGGGTATCTAAGTTACAGTTATCTACTGTGTTACTTAGAAGTCTACTTCCAAACCTGCATGTGATTTAAATCAATGCGTGTGATTGTGTATTAAGATACCTATGTAATAACATTACTAAGTTAAATATTAGTTAAGTAGACAATGGACCAAAGATCAACTTAAAAAGGTTACTTTTACAACAAGAATACCAAGAAATCAACATCGAAAAACTCGTTGACTGAACTTAGTTATGTAAGTGAACAATGTATTTATATTAAACAAAAGTTAGAAGATACACTAATCTAGTCTTTTTGTGAAATATTATTTATTAAGCGTAACATAAAACTTATTTTTTATGAGCACAGTCATGTCATTACGACGTTTTAACTCTCAAGTTCAGTTTAATGAAATACACAGTTAATTTTGTATAGTTAGTTAGAATTCAATTAAATTAAATGTATTTATTAGATAATTTATAATATAATATATCTCACACACTCACACACGGCCGTCTGATCCGAAACTAGGCAGAGCCTGTGCTATGGTCACCCGACCACTGATAAACATACTTATATATTTCTAAATACATACATATTATAGATAAATTACACCCAGACACAAAACAAATAAATTACACCCAAGACAAATATTGTGTATATTTGTCCTGGGTGGGAATCGAACCCAAGACCTCCGGTTTAGCAGTCAGGGTCACTAACCACTAGACCAACAGGCCCGTCAAATTAGATTCAACTCTAGAATTATTATAAGATTAGATTGAAGTTAAAAATCATAACACGCATACAGCAATAAGTTGGTTAGGGGAGGTAAAAATCTTGATTTGAATGATATTACAGGCCTTTTGGTCTAACTGACCTTGACTGCATAGATAGAGATCGTAGATTTCCATCAGGACCAATAAGTGTCCACTCTTCGTTCTTAGTCCAATCTGTCCTCCTCTGGAACGCTCTGCCTTTGGAAATCAGGATAGCACCCAGTCGCCTCTCATTTAAGACGAAAGTCCGAGCTCGAATTCTCGACACTTTAGCAGACTCATCACATCCCTAAAGTCCTATATGTTATTATGTTAGCCTTGTATGTATTACTCAGCAAGTATATATATGTATGTGTATCTCAGTATGTATGTAACCTAATTTTAATTTCATGCACCTACTCAGACATTTCCCCACCACCCTGGTAGACTGGGAGAAAATGCCTTTGGCATTAAGTCCGCCATTTTACTTTGTTTGTGCAAAAAGAATTAAAATAAATAAAATAAATAAATAAATTTATTCTATGAATATGTATTTTATTCATATCAGCAGTACAGTTTTGTCTGTATGTTCTGTATATCTCAAGCTCTTATTATTATAGATATAATATAATTATAATTTACGAATTTTGATTGCATTATATTTTTTTTTTAAAAACATTATGATAAATGTAGGCTTACTAATTCTGAACACATTTGTTTTATCACATCAACAGCCTTTAACAGTCCACTGCTGGACATAAGCTTCTCCTTATAAATGTGACAAAGGCGGACTTAATGCCGCAGGCTACTTCTTCCAGTAACCTTAGGGCGATGCAGACCTAAAACATGGTAGATGCACAAAATAAATAAAAATAAATAAAAATAGTAAATCATCAGAGTACTTATATTAATTAAATTAGAATATTTTTTAATATATAATACATATACAATATGTAAAAATGATACTAACACACACAATTCATAAGTATTTATATACATATACACTAGCTGATCCGGCAAACGTTGTTTTGCCATATACATTATTTCTACGAAATATTGAAAAAAAAAAAAATGGTGGGTCGCCCTTGTCTTTGGGGTATGAAAGATTGATGTTGGCCGATTCTCAGACCTACCGATGTGCACACAAAATTTCATAAAAATCGGTCCAGCCGTTTCGGAGGAGTATGGTAACTAACATTGTGACACGAGAATTTTATATATAAGATATGCACCTATCCATACATATAATTATATTATATATATACGAGTACATATATATATATCAACATAAAAAATTCTATAAGAGAGAGTAAAAAGTGCTGTTGTCCTGGGATGAATAGGGGTGGTGACATTACGTATTCTTAATCCGTAATAACAAGTAAATACGTCATAACAAGTTAATTAAAGTAAAAACCTATATCGCGGTTAAACAAAATTTGGGGAAGTTTTAAATTTTACCATTACTTTTTAAAGATTTTTTTTTATAAATAGTAAGAAAATTATTATCAAGGTTCCAAAACTAAGGTGCTTCCTAAGTTATTTTATTTTCTAAGGTACGCATAATAGTTCTTTGAGGCCCTCCCCTCCCTGCATATAAAGGGTTGTTTTCGGGTCAGTATGTATTACCGGTCTCACATGTGAGTCCTATTTTTTTTATGTTAGAGGGGCAGACGAGCAGACCCGCTGATGAAAAGTGACCATCGCCGCCCATGAACGTCTGCAACTCAGGAGTCACAAACGCGTTGCCGGCCTTTTAGGAAGGAGTCCACTCTATGTATATAAACTATATGTTATATAACAGTGTATAATTCCACAGTTTTTGAGTTGCTGTAATAAATATTCCTCAAACACGACTTCACGTAAAGGATACTCTTTTTAATTTTTTCTATCGCAATACTCATAGTACTGAGAACTCAGAATCACAGAAAAGTGAAATAAGACTTGTGCCTACCTGTTGTTTAAAATAAATCTGATATCATTAAACCTGCTTCGTAATAAGTATTTTATTATGTAATTTATGCTTCATGTAGTATTATTATTTTTTATTTATATCCTAATTGACAGTATTATTAGTTTTATAACAACTGTGAATTTGTTTTGTTATTAAACTTGTTAATTATTTTTGAATAATAAATTAATGTGCAGAGTTTTGTGTTTCATTGAGTAAAATCAAATTATCCCATCAATCCACAAACGATTGTTTGTGGATTGATGGGATAATTTGATTCTACTTCTGGGTAGAGATCGTATTAATCCAGGATTATAGGAAATCTTCGGTTTTTTTTTCTATGATTTAGGAGGCAAACGAGCAAACGGGTCATCTAATGGTAAGTGGCACCTGCAACTTTGAGCCCTCCTCTAGAATTAGTGGGTTCAGACTCCGCTTCCTTCACTCACTCGGTGAAAAGCAATCCAAGAACTGCTTAACTGTAGTTTTCCATCATTAATCATCTACTTAGAAAGGAGGTTTAGGCCTACTATACAACGCTAACCAGACGGGTTAGTATAGAGTTTGTTCAAGTTTTCCTTCTCTTTGCAGTGCTGCTGTCCTGTGGAGTTTGCTCCCTTAGTCGGCTCTTGTGACACCCACGGGATAAATAGGGGTGGTGACACTCCTTATTCTTAAACCGTCACCACGGATAGTTTTCTATAGGGCAGTAGATCAGTCCCTTCGAGAAGACCCATTTGTGCTGAAGCATAGTTCTCCCACGGTTGAATGTGAATCTCTGAAAGGTGTTGAGACTATTTATTTTTAATTTAAAACTCTTAAAATCGTCTATTTCATTCAATGAAGTACTTTCTCGAATATTGTTAACCCATTAATGAGATCCATGTGAAATTTCCAACAATTCTGAAGCATAGGACTGCACGGATGGCTACGCTGTGTGGGTCCGATTCCAACATGGGACTACACTTTGTGTGATCCACAAATTGTTGTTCTGAGTCTGGGTGTTCTTTGTGTCCGTGTGTCCGTTTTATGATGTTTGTAAAGTCCCCCGCGACACAGGATATCATCATCGTCAACAGCCTTTAATAGTCCTCCACAGCTAGACATAGGCCTC